GCAACAGTTGTGGGAAGAAACATTCGTCGGGGTGTGGGGGAAGTCTGAGTTACGTAGAAGTCGATGGGAGCAGAAACAGGACGCTGCACTTCACCCCTTTTCTGAATACCCTAATCTTCAGGATATAAGGCGCACTCGTGTCCCTTGAGCGTAGCTGCGACTGCGCTTCTGGTGAGGTTTTTCCGTTTTGGCACATCTGCGATCATGTCCAGCACAGGACCCAGGTAACAGTTATCTCAAGTGGAGATACCCCATAAGAAACGCATCTTGCGCATTTATGTTTGCATGAAATACGCAGCCACACCTTCTTCTTCCGCGGGATACAGAATGTGAATGCGCCTTATATCCCAAAAAATGGGGTAGAAGTGGAGATTTGGACGGGACACTGTCATGCGATGAGATCACCACAATCAATAAAACATTTATTCAGGAAATCCAATCAAACGCACTAGGTTAAGTCATTATAAACTCAAAAGTAAATATGCACAGCACCAAGGCAGCGATTCTGAAGGAATTCACCAGAAGCGAATATAGCAGTCTCTCTATTCAACAGCTACAGAAGAGGCACGAAGAAAGATGAAAAAAGAAGTAAAAAATTAAAAGAACTGGAGAACAGGAAGGGAACACGGGGTTATGAGTGAAATGATTTTCATGCGATGTCAACAACAGCAGCATCAGCAACAGCAGTCTTTGTCTTCGGCCGCACGACGATTGCGCACGGACTGGCAGTGTTGGTGTTTATGGGTGTTTAGATGTTAATGAATGGCAGTACAACAACGACAGTGACGGCGACGACAACGACGACGGCTAATGGCTTGTTGAAAACCACGAGCCAAATGTCGAATGCGTCAAGAGCTTTTTCTTATGTTGCCTTAACGCATTCGCAGCACGTCGTCGATGATTCCGTCGGGCGTGGCGACCGCGGGTATGCTTGCGCTTGCGTTTTGCCGAGCCGATGTTCAGCACGGTTCGCGTCTCCAATGGTCCAGCTTTCGTCTTCGCTCGGCACTTGTACACTCCGGCGTTATCCTCAGTCACCTCGTTGAACAGTAATCGACCTCCGGTCACCTGCAAGTCAACCATCAAACATTTTTTGGGTAGAAACGTAGCAATTTTGAGCTCAAGGCACTGATACTGCGCTTCATTGTGAATTAACCAGGGAAATTCCCAACTTGGAGAGGGGAGAAGGAAGAGGGAAGAAACTTGAAGGCTTTCCCCACGTTCAGAAATGATAAGTTGCGGCTAAAATACTAAAGAAAGGGTGGTAAATATCACAAAAAAGTAGAAAAAAAAGCAGAAAACCCGCCCGAAATGTCTCGAAGAATCCCATGTGAACCGCGCGCCTATATG